AGAAGAAATCAATGTCACAAAAAAAAAAAAATACAATATATGATATATAGTAAGAAAAATACAAGATCGTGAAGAAGGTCAAAGCGAACAGTATCATGGCCAAGTCAAAAACTTGCTTAGAGTTTGGGTTACAGGGTTAGAACAAGAAAAATATATATCATGTTGAGAAGTGGTCCTCTGTGTACTTCCTCATAATCGCTGTGATTATTAAGCTTTCACCTAATATGCTGTTTAAGAGCTTTTTTGAGAGAAAGCATTTCTTGTATCTACCTAATGTTTATTTGTATATCTTCATGTGCCCCTCCATGCACATAAGAGTCATAACTATCCATAAAATTTATATTATATTATAAGTCTGTTATGTCCTTTTATCAATAAAAGGTTTCTTATATACTTAAAATTTGACTCTAGATCAATTGCATCATTATTAATTATTCGATAGCTAACTTTACTTCAATTACATCATTAATTAATCATCTGATACTTATCTTTTACTCAGTTACATATTTCTTATGCGCCTTGATTGATTCTTGATTGATCGGTTACTATCAAACCCGAATCTTGCCATATGACATCGTAAACTCATTGTATAAGGTCCAGACTGATTTTTGTCATAGAACCGCTTGTGGCTATGACAGAAGCTAGACCCCACTTGACTCACATCCCCGGAGTCAACAACACCTTCAATTGGTTCTACACTCGAAAATTAGTTCCATCAATACCTATCTTTTTATCACTCAACTATCTACTGCTCTACCATCTGAGCTAAATCCCAAATTCAACATTCTTTTATCAAAACATCCTTCATCACCCAATACTATATGAATACTTCTCATTTTCGCTTCATTAATTCCTTTTTCTATTCTATCATCCCCATCAACAGATTTGTTGGGAGCCTTCAAACGTTTTATACTCATACCCATCATCACCACTCTTTGATGTTAATAATTACCAACGTCACATATCATTGATCGCCTAAAGCCTTTAGTCCCAAGTTCCAAAACATTATAGCAAATTGATAATTTTATACTGGACCATTAGATAGGATCCATCAAATGCTCTTTGTTTGCTTGAAATCTCTGTAGCGATAACTCCAAAACTGTAAACATCTGATGCTGGTGTATACTAAAATCTTGGGCACTACATATGGCAGAATTCTCCTTGTAACTATTTCCACTATGTAAACCTCCATAAACAAATTCCTGTAACTGAATCAACTCGAGATCTAAGACCTTTGTTGCTTAATTCATGACAATAATATAATTGCCATAATTATTTATTAACACTCCCAAGCAATTCAAGAAAGAAAGATTTTTGTTACCACCTTCACAGTAATCCCCAAATTCTTGCAGACTTTTAGAATCACGAATAACTTTAGGTGCAACATCTTTCTACACATTATTAATTGAATCAACAGGCCCATTATAAAGTTGCAAATCCTCCTTTTTCCAATCCCAGATAGTTGTGAACCCATTATAATTAATCTACAATAATTTAAATCTCTCATTGTCTAGTATTCTTTTAAGTTCAGGATTGATAGTATCTAATAATCCAAAGACTTCTACATTTCCTGGCTCAATAATTTTGCTTTTTGAATATTTCTCTTTGCACTGATATTGTTTTCGTTATATTTTCAAGTTCACATTAGTAGTTTTGTAAAAACATTCAAATGCTTTATCATACTTTCCTTTATCATCACAATTAGATTTCCTAACTCATCCGCTTTCATATAATATTCAAAAGCCTTTTCTCATCTCTTTCGGCACCAATATCATATCGGTAGTTTTATAACGACAACTGGATTCCTTTGTTCTATTGCTTAGTTTAACTATGTTTAAGAGATCTAGACCTATGTCGACCTGAACTGGAGTATCGTACAAGTTCTTCCACCAATGCTCACCATATAAAGTATCTATTTGAATCACTTTGAATCCCTTTATGTTTCATTAGTTTGTTACTAACGGGGTGGGTTTTTTTTTTCATCGCCCTGCGCAGTACTTATTTACATTTCAGTACCAGGAATTACATGACTTACAGGATCTTTAATATTTTTGCTGCCCTGCACAGTACTTATTTATGTCTCAGTACTAGGGATTATGTGTCTTACAGGATCTTTTACTGCCCTGTGCAGTATCTATTTACATCTTGGTACCAGGGATTATGCGACTTACGGGATCTTTACCATTTTTTTTTTGACAGCATTATGAAAACCAACTTTACCTATTACATCTGATTATTAGATCCTTCATATTAACTCAAGACCAGTATCAAGATTCCTATAATCATTGAATTCTATGTTCACAGCAATTACTAATATCGATCGTACTAGTAGGTTTTATATTCTATTCAGGTGCTGTTTTTTCATCATTGCCTGTACCCATATCGATAGCTCTTTGATGATGAGTGTTTCACATTTATCACTATAGCACCAACATCTTTCTGATCCCCACTACTTAGTTCTTGGCCCACTGATAATTTGATACAAGACCAGTATCAAATGGAATTCCATTAAATTCTCTTTGCTCGCTCGAAATCTTTGTAGCGATAACTCCAAGACCGTAAATATCTGATACTTGAGTGTCTAATCGACCCATTAAAATCTCAGATACTATATGTAATAGAATTCCACAAATTTTCATTCATGATTATTTCTTGATACTTCAATATATCCAAGAGTGAAGGATTCTCATAATCAATTTCACAGTAATTTTTTAGATCTTGGATAAATTCTTGCTCATTTTATTTGAACCATAAGTCACTTTAAGTACAATAGTTTTCCATGTACTATGATTCCATACATAATATATAGTTGCAAATCTACCTTTTCCTTCTTCCTGGATACTTCTGAACTTATTAGCTTTCAAAAGGCCTCTATATCTTCTAAACCGATAATTTGTCTGCGGAATCTCTCTCTTTTACCAATACTGATTCGATAAAATCAAGCACTATTTATTGCCATTTTCATATCTTTTCTATCTGTTGTTTTTTGTATTCCTTTTATTCATCACATTGCTAATTATATCCTACAATCCATATTCCAAATCTTCTTTAACAGTTTTATATTGACATCTATGTCATTGCTTTTGGTCCTGAACTTACTGACACATTCATCGTCTATTTTTTTGTACTGATATGTTACGATAACATTGAGCAACTCTATTCATCGATACTATAGCACCTATATTAGCAGATTTTCATAATATTCAAACTTTTTATCATAATTTCAGCTAGTCTCAAATCCACTTCTATGCAACCAACCAATGCTACACATTGCAGTAGAATGATCCAAATTGGCCAATCTTTCATAAAACTCAAATGCTTTATTGTAGATACCACTTCTTGAACTTTATCCTTTATAGCCTGGACTGGATATTGTGCAAGTTCTCGCACCATCATTGTACAGCACTATGTACCGGTTTGTCAAGTCATTGATTGCTCAGTTTACAAGATTTGCTTGGCTCTTTACTTCGTTAGTAATATTTTTTTATTTTTTTATTTTTTTTTTAACTTAATAAACAAAAACAATCTTGCCCAGGTTCTTTTGTGGTGGCTCTATTCAACCACCTATTGGAGATCTTTCAAATCACTGATAAAGTTGAATCTTTTTTTTATTCGTTATTTGTATGTTTTTGAGAAAAGTATATCTGATCCATCTACTGTTTTTTACTTATTTGTAAATCTTTATGTGCCCCACCATGCATATAAGAGTTGTAACCATCTATAACTTAATTATATTATGAGTCTGTTATGTCTTTTTATCAACAATAAGATCCTTATATACTTAATATTCAACTCTAGATTAGTTACACCATAGTTAATTATATGATAGCTAGCTTTACTTCAATTACATTATTAATTAATCATCTGATACTTATCTTTTACTTCATTCATATATTTTTTATGCACCTTGATCTATCCTTGATTGATCAGTTATATGCATTAAACTATTTACTATCAATCCATTGCACATGTTCTGAACTAATTTTCACTGTAGAACTGCTTGTGGCCATGACAATATATTAGATATCTAATTTTTTTTTGATCAACAATCTGCCAATTGCAATTATTATTTCATTCAGCCAATAAGAATTTTCTTTTGATCACATGATTCTGCACCGCTTTAGCCATTCTCTAAAATGAATACATGTTGCTGTTTGTTGTTTTGGTGTAACAATCAGTGATCTGTTTGTTAGAGGTTTGCCTAGTTCTCACTTTTTGTGCCAAAAGTTGTAAAATTTTTCCAAAATTCCTAAATGCTCAGAAATCGCTAGTCAAATATATCATTTGCTTTAAAGAAATTTCTTTATTCTGTGTGCAGGCTTCTTTCTCTTAGAGAAGTTTAAGCAGTTTGTTAGTCAGATTTTGGAAAAATTATTGATTTTAATTTTTTAATTTTGGTGCAGAGGATCAGAGGAAAGAGTTTTTTGACTAAAATTAATACAAAAATTTGATAGTTAAATGTTTGTAATTAAATTAAATATTAAAAAATCACAAATTTTTATTTTTTTTTTAAAGCTTTGACAATCTTGCTAGTGCTCAATTTTTAGGCTTTATTTAATAAGTAATGGTGAACCATCTCAAATATAAAAACACTCTTTTTAAACTAAACACAGAGTCTCGCAATTGTAAGCCTGATATTACTGGCTGTAATAAATATACTCATATACAACTTGTCACACCAACCTGTATACAAGTTAGATAAACTTTGTTAGCCTATTAAAGCTAATCTTTTTATATCTATTTTCTTTGCTGGAAGCAATAGAAATGATAATTTTATCCAAAACTATTTATAATGACAAAAAAAATAAAACTACTAAGTAAAAAAAACAAATAAAATAAAAAGAATTTTTAAAGAGAAAAGGAAAAAAGGAGGTACAATAATATATAAAAAAAAGAAAAAAAAGAGAAATGTCTAAGAGCTAACAAAGAGAGAACTATTTCTATCAAGAATGGTACAAATAAAAAAAAAAAAAAAAATACACTATTATAACCTGTGCCAGGTTAAAAAAAATCTTATAACTGCAATGTTGTATATTTTGACTATAATGCAAAACTACTGCAAAACTTAACAAATATCTTCTGACTACTGACTATATTCAGATACTCTAGCCAGAACTCTATTCCTAATTATGTGGAGAACTCATATCTACTAATTATGTACTGTATCTACTGATAAAT